CTGTAGAATACAGCAGAATAAGAAAAGGGAGCAATAATAGTGTCTTTCCAGCATTCTTGATGATGGATGGCTAGTAAATATACATATAAATAATCTGATAGCTTACATTATCTCTTGTTGATAAGAAATGATTAACAATATTGCAACCCGCTCACACCTCCTATGTTGGTTTTGATGACACAAAAAAATAAAATTAAGTGCATTTAGTTCTTTATTAATGGCTATTAAAGGAAGCTCCGTCAATTAATTTATGCTGCTCGTTGGAAGTTTATGCGCTCCATGCAATGTGTAGAACAACGTAGGGAAGGATGAGAACACTTTCTTTCTAGCATCCTCTTGTGATGGACATGAGAACACCTGTTCTTTTCATTCATTCTTGTCTTTGTTCTTCATAGTATTCTTGTGATATTTTTACAACATATCATGCACACATGTAAATATCTAAATATAGTTCACTCTATTTTTATCTCTTATTAATTCTCTCCGTACTTGTACTGATTTAAGTACCAAAAGTCCCCTGTATACAAGGGACCTGTTTTGCAGAAGAGTACAAATCAAGTTCGTAGTGTAAATTATATTTCCTTGCACACTTGTCTATGAAGAAAAACCCAAATCCAAATAAATTTTTTTCCAACTCGTCATGTTTGATTCGAGTTATCAAATTATAACTCTAGAAACAAAAATACTTTGAAAAATGCAACTCTAATGTGCAATATTACAACTAAGTTTGAAACTTGATGGGATGCTTGTGCCATGTTTAACATTGTGATCTAATTGTTATTTTAAAAAAATTAATTTTTTTATATTTTTAAATTATTTTGCTGCATTAATATAAAAATAAATTTTAAAAAAATAAAAATATAATATTTTGCTGTAATTTCGAGCCAAAAATGCTTTGAATAATAATATTGAACACTCTTTCGAGCCAAAAATACTTTGAATAATAATATTGAACACTCTTTCAATAACAATTATTTTTTAAAGTGTTTTTTGCTGAAAAATATATTAAAATAATATTTTTTATTTTAAAAATTTTATTTTTGATATGAACTTATCAAAATAATTTAAAAATATTAAAAATAAAAAAATTATAATTTTTAAAAAATACAGTTTCAAAACGTTAGGAAAATTAAAAATTTAAAATTTAAATAAAAAAATTACATCTTTAAAAAAATACAGTTTCAAAACGTTAGGAAATTGTTAAAATAACATCTCATGCCTTCCTAGGACATGCAGAGAGTCATCTTTAACTTGCACTGAAAGTAACAAAGTGTGATCGTGCACTGAAAGCAACGAAGTGTGATCAAGATGATGGTACGATGATCACTTGTTCTACAAGCTTGAATAGTGTAAGATCATGCGCGGTAAGCGTGGGTAAGTAATTACTCTACATTATTTAAGCAATTCTACAAATATTAACCTTATTTTAAGTTTGATTTATGTGCATTTTACTGTGTCCAGTCACGCTCTAGCTGAGAACCTCCATGGTTAGCAATATTTTTGCTTTAAAAGAATGACCTGACACACATATATTTAATATGTAGGAGCATCCTTCGAACAAAGAGATTAGGTAGAGATCACAATCAGATCCAATGTTATTAATTTGTGTGTTTTTAAATTTTAATAAACTACAAGAGAAGCTCCAAAATCTCTCAGGATCATGTATTTATTTATGTTTAGCTATGGAGAATAAATACTTTTAGGAGAAATAGTTTATTTTTGTGTTATAAAATTGTTTTGGCTACTTTTAATTTTTAATTATTGCTAAATTATTTTGATGGGTTAATATTGATAATAAATTTTAAAAAATTAAAAAAATATATTATTTTAATATATTTTAAAATAAAAAATACTTTAAAAATAATATCTATATAAAAAAATAAAGTCTGCTGCGCTGACATCTTCAGTGCTGCGAGTCACCAATAAAGTAATATATTCAATTTAACGAGGGACTAGAAAAATATTTAACTAATCAATTTAGTCAATTTTGATTGATAGTCAAGGCTGTCCTCTTTTATTTATTACCACTTGATACCCACTTCTTTTTCTTTTTTTCTTTTTGGTGTACCAACCCGCTACACGCGTAGCTTCAACGGCTACATTTAAACAATTTTCATGGTTGATTTAAGGGTAGGGATACGCCAAATAAAAGGCCAAAAAAAATATTGAATTAATTTTTCAATTTTTATTTTAGAAATACTAAATAAAATGTTAAAATACTATTTGTTATAAAAATATCAAAACTTTATAAAATACTATTAATTGCAATAATTTTTTTCACTAGTTTTTTTTAATTTATATTATTTCAATTCATTTTTATAAAATTACCATGATTTTACGACTCATATTATGGGTTTGAAGAGCTCATTTGATTGATTAAAGTTGTTTTTTATTTTTTTAATTAATTTTTTTTAATTTTATTTTTTAATATTAAATTAATTAAAAATTATCTGAGTTATTTTAAAATCTACAACGCCAATCAAGTCATATTAAATTATTAAAATAACTATATATTAAATCTATTAAAATATAATTAGCTCTTTTAAATAAATTTTTTCCATTAAAGTGCAAATAAATAAAAAATAATATTTATACTGTTTAAAAAACCATATTACTAATTTACGTCTTCTAGATATCATTTCCACTTAAGATGCTCTAAGCACAACAGTCTACCAACAGACATGATTTTAATTGATAGTCAGAACAATCCTCTGTATAGCCACTTGATACCCTCTTTTTTTTAAAAAAATAAAATTGTGTACCAACCCACTTTGTATGTGTAGTTTAATTGGCTATTTTTAAACAATTTTCATAGGTAATTTGAGGGTGGGGAGTTCAGATTTGCACGTATAACACAGATGAATCATGGCGTGTCCGTGTGTTATAAGCAAGGAGGGACCGGTTTAGTGAACTTGTCCCATGGTGCGTTTTTTTTTTTTCTGAAAAGTATTTTTTTAAAATTATTTTTATATTTATTTGTTATTAAAAAAATAATCAATGAAAAATATTTTTTAGTTAAAGAAAATTTTAATTTAATTTTTTAAAAAATATTTTTCTTTTATTTTAGATGAAAAATACTTTTTAAAAATTATAAAAAACTTAAAAATGTTATATTATTTGTTATTTATATTAAATTTAATCCTCGAATTTTTTATTGTTATACATATTTTATTTTGAATATTTATTTTTTAATTTCATTTCTTAAAATTTAATTTTTATATTAACTTAGATCCTCACTTTTATCATTGTTATTTGTTGTTTTCTTATTATTTTTTAATTAAAAAATTTTTATCTATTAAATTTAGCCATCATTCTTTTGATTGTTACTTATTTTATTTAAAATAATTTATGAAATGATAATTATTATTATTTTAATTTTTTATCTTTTATATTTGATCTCTGTTATTTTAATTATTATTTATTTTATTTAAAATAATTTATGAAATTATATATTTTTTAATTTCATTCTCATTCAACTTTTTAATTTATAAGATTTGTTTCTTATTATTTTAATAAATTTCAAAAAAATCAAACATTAATAAGTTATTTTCCATCTAATTTTCTATGATATAACTAAATATTATAAAGTATTTTTTAATTTATTTTTCATTATACTATTAAACATTGAAAGAATTCACTTTTCTTAAGAAAACTATTTTTCAATAAAAAAACAAGATTTTAATGATTAACCTCATAAAAATCATGGATGGAGGGCTTGATGCAATCTAGACATAAATTAAGAGATTTGATTTGATAATTCAAGAGTGTAGTTATTGATCAAGCTCTAGGTTTGTCATCTATAAATCACTAATTTGAGCTTCATAAATTATAAAATTATTAAAATTTTATATAATTATTAATTTTAA